GTAATTGCCCTCTCAAGATTTTTATTGCGTTTCTATTCTTTACTGCTCAAAGCCTTCGGTGAAGAGTACATGAAAGTGATGGCGTCTGAAAATGAGTGACAAATTCGCGATGGGATGTTGAACAAATAAACCAAATAATACCCCCCCCCCCCCCAAAAAAAAAATAATAATAAAACAAAGCAATAATTTGAGCATATGCTGGTATTTTACACCGAATTTCGGAATTCTTGTGTCGAAAACACTCATGTGTCCATTTAAGGAAAAACTGGCTAAGGGGGGAATACAACTCTACAATATAGGTACACTGAAGATGTATATCCTGTTTGAAGGTACTTGGACACAGATTTGAAGTCAATACTTTCTCTATAATATTACGACTTATATATTTGAATAGCATTTCACACAAAAATTAATTAAAAATCTTATTTTATTTAAAAGTTATTAAAAGTTATTTAAACTTCAAAATTTTCGGCGGGTTTGATTGACAAATCCTTGCACCTTCACAAATTTTAACCTTATTCTTAATCCTTAGGAAAAGTGGCAATCTTGTTGTGTATTAATGAGAAATATTAAAACTTTCATCCAGAAAAATAATTTTATTCAGAGTATAAATATTAGAAAGCAAAACTCCTTCACAAGTATCGTCATTCCGATCTAAGAGATGCGTACAGAGTTTAGCAAATCGAGCACACTCGTGTTATGTACACAGTTTTTGTAAACAGGGCACGAGTTCTGTTATTGTTTATGTTTACAATTCACCGGGTGCGTTCAATCGTCACAGTCTGCTTACCACAACTGCACGGACTGACAACATATTGTGTGCTTGTTTTGCTTTCGAACATGTCTACTCTGAATTTTCTGGATTATAGTATTAATTTTTTTCATTTATACAAAACGAGATTGCCACTTTTCCTAAGGATTAAGAATAAAATTAATTTGTGAAAGTGCAAGGATGTGTCAATCAAGCCAGCCAAAAATTTTTTAGTTTTAATATCTTTTATATGAAATAAGATTTTTAATTAATTTTTGTGTGAAATGCTATTAAAATATATGTCGTAATATTATCGAGAAAATAATAACTTCAAATCTGTGTCCAAGTACCTTTAAATGCTTTTAATCGCAATATATAAAGAGAAATAACTCTTGAAATGCCAACAAACTTGAACATGTTTGTCGCTCTTTGTAGCAAAAAATAAAATTTCTATAAATTATGATATGTGTCCACATTAAAATGGCTGAAAACAAAGCATAAAACAATTCAACACGAATTAAATGTGCAATATCATATGTTGGTTTTGAATATTGTTTTGTATTCCAAACAACCAAAATGATTTTTCATTACAATATCTAAATTGGATTCCAAAACCTCGTAAAAAATCCTTACAATAAAAGATACATAGCGGTTCCAGCAAACGTTCTATCAAGCCTCTTTCTTTACTCCTCACTTAAATATTAACAGTAATCAAGGAGGAACTTCAAGAGTACTGTGCAACAATATAGTCAAGAAGTGGTGTAAATCAGATGTGGATACTTAAAAATTCCAAGGAACTTTTGGACTATATGAAATCACAAGATCTTACCAAAATCAACAGCTTAAAAACTTGCGACTTTTCCACTTTATATACAACTATTTCCCACGATAGATTAAAGTCAAGGCTTTCTGACATCATTGACAGCTTGTTTTTTTTAAAAATAAAAATGGAACTAGTAAATTTACCTACCTTGTCATTGGTCATTTGCAAAATTGTAAAGACAATCTGATTGTAAATACAAGTACTCTGGAGTTGATGTTAAAAAGAATTTAGTTTCTGATTGACAAAATCTATGTGTATTTTGGAGACCAATTCTTCGAACAATCTTTTGGAATTTACATCACTTCTAGAATATGTTGTTGCACGGTACGTCTGAAGTTTCTTCTTAACAGCAATACGATTTTTAAGGAATAAGGATAGCGTTGACCATGCAATGTATTTATGTTTGTAAGGATTTTTAAGAAGTTTAAAAATCCAATCTAGGTAGGGTAGATCGAACTTACCTTGGTGGACTGGAATGTTAAAAGTTTGAAATGATGAAATGTGATTTTGAAAAATTTTTCCTCCAGAAATTGAACTGCGAGTATAAGTTGGATTTTCAGAAGTAGAATAAAAACCAAGTTCTTCCAAAATACAGTTATAATAATGAGCTTTGAAAACAAAGACAATATTATTACAAGCCTTGACATTTGGAACCATTACAAATTGTTAATGTTGTCTTTCTTACTTTTGGATCAACTAAAACTTAGTGAAAACGGAAGAATAGATGGTTCGCATTTTACCTTTTAAAATTTCTTATACTCGTACGATTTTTATAAATATATTTCTAAAACATTTAATCTAGTCTGACTGAATGTTTAGATTTTCTTCTTCATGTTTTGCCCAACGTCTGGCGTAATCATAATAGAAAAGATTTGGAAAAATGTTGTTGTTAAGGTTACTACATTGCAGTGATTCAAATTGTTGGTCCACAGGTCTTGGGGTGCTATTGGGGGACAAGACTGTTAATGTCGATAATGCTTGTTCTACTTCAAGGACTTAAGCTCTTGCTACAGCATTTGTGAGCAAGAAGAAGTCACCAAACCTCTTTATACACAGAAAACAATTGGAAATATCTTTCTTCAGAACCAATGAATATGCAGGAAACAATGTAACTGTTGAAAGCATTATCATCTATAGAGACACAATGACACTTTCGACTGCACCTTAGCTACTTTAGAGATAAGATTTGTTGATCTCCAGAAATGCTGATCCCACCTCTGATGTTTTAGTAATCTGCGTTTGCTCTGCTCCCGATTTGTATGGTTTTAATGAACTTTTGAGCTTTAATGATGTTTGTTTTCACCATATATATTAACTGTGAAGTTCATTGTTTGAAGCACCTGAGGAAATGTAGAGAAACGAAGGACACTATGAACTACAATTGAAATTGATGATATCGAGTTTCCAAAATGCCTTTCCATGAATTCCAGTATGCGGATTCCAGTCAAACAGACTAAGGTCCTGCGTACATGTACAAGGGCTTTTCAATAAATAATGTCCTCGGTGCTCGGAAAGAAAAAAAACGCTTTTCAATGATTAAGTCTTAATGATTTCACTTAAATATTCTCTTTTGATTAAAACATATGTTCATAACATTTTTATCCAATATCTGATTGTTTTAGGACACGTTTTTGAGTATGGCCCTTCGTATACTGGAATATGGTGGATCCTATCATTTCCTGTACTTGTTTTTTTTTCTTTCAGAAAGGTGTTTTTTCAAGTTTGGGAAATGAAACAAGTCAAAGGTTGAAATATCTTGCGAAAATTGTTGGTGTGACAAAACATTAACTTTCTCTTTATCCCGAAAGTTCCTTTACTCTTCATGGCCTGTAGGTTTGGACGCTGTCATGGAGAGAAACTTTAATGTAGTGGATTTCTGATTCTGGTTCCTTCCTCTTATAAACTTTTCGATTTTTTTTTTTTTTTTTTTTTTTTGCAAAAAAAGTTTTTAAGCTGTTGATTTTGGTAAATTTTTTTTATTTCAAATTGTCCAAAAGTTCTTTGGAATTTTTGAGTATCCATATCTGATTAACACCACTGCTTGAATATATTGTTGCAGAGTACTCTTGAAGTTTTTCCTTCACTACTGTCAATATCTTAGTGAGGAGTAAAGAAAGAGGCTTGGTTGAACATTTACTGGAACCCGCAATGTATCTTTGTTTGTAAGAATTCTTATGAAGTTTCGGAATCCAATATATATATATATATATATATATATATATATATATATATATATATATATATATATATATATATGGTTGTTCGAATTCATATTGGTTCTTCGGGATATTAAAAATATTCAAAACTGACATATGATTTTGAAGAATTTCTTCCTTAGAAAGGGAACTATGAGTATAAGTAGGATTACCACTTGTAGAATTAAATCCAAGTTCTTCTAAAATACAATTTATATAATGAGCCTTACAAACAAAGACAATGTTGTTACCTGCTTTTTCAGCAGGGACCAGTACGTACTTATCATGTAATCTATCTAATTCTTTTTTCACTTCTGGATTACTGAATACAGAAGGATAGATGGTTTTTATATTGCCCCTCAATCTTTTGATTCGCGATTTCAACATGGATCTGATACATTTTATCCATTCTGACAGCGTGTCAATGTCCTCTTTTTCATATCTGTCCCATCGCCTGGCGTAATCTTCAACAGAATCCATAATATTTATGAAATTCCGACGCCAGTTGAAGGACCGGGGTTCCTTATATTTGGGACCTTTTAAAATAAGTGATCTAAGGTCCTCATTATTAACTATATTTACGTCACCTGTAATAATGTGTCCAGCAGAACTATAGTTATAGGGCGAAGAAGAACATGAATACGATGGAGAATTATGTTTCATATACTCGATATCCAGGCCATGTAAAGTTTCACTGTAATTGAAAAGTTTGGAAGTAATGGTCGATGTATATTTGTAGGTAATACAAGGTGTAGTCTTAAACTTGAAATATGATGGAATACAAGACAGGACCCTTTTGTGATTAAGAGTATTGCTTAAATAAAAGAGATTTCATGATTAATAAATATTTTATTGCCATAACAATTAATGATGCCATATTTATGTGAACAAAATCTTTTCTTTTACTGTCTTGCTAATACCATACAAAAGACCTAGATATTGTGTAAAATAAATATGATTAAAAACAAAAAGTATAAAATTGCAATGTTTCTGTACAGACGAATTAACTTTTTATTCAGTGCTTAAACAAGACTGCTGTACATTAACCGTTTTATCTGTATTTTAAAAATATGAAAAAATTCTAAAGATAAATTAACTTGAGAAAAAAAAATTTAAAAAAAAAACCTTTGATTTTCTATCCCATGTAACTTCCCACTTTTTCCAAAATATATGAAAAGGTGCCTTAAGCGCAAAATTTCAATTAGCAAAATAAATATTTATTGAAAATAAAAATCGAATCAATGTGCAATATCTTTCAGTAAACACAATGTGTTTTAAACAAGTGTTTTTGAATAAACATAAAAATGACTTCATAAAAATCACAGATATCTTTTTGTAAATGTTCTTTCAAATCACTGTTGTCGTGTCTTTCTCCATCTGACCAACTTTCGGATTTTTGAACTGTATGTTAACAACTTGGCAAGGTGGTATTATTCCAATTATATATTTTAGGACAGGGAAAACAAACGTTTATATGTACCCTCTTTCTATATCTGCCATTAATTCTTCTTCTGAAATATCATACTTTGGGACACTTCTGTAAAATAGAAAAATATTTGATTAGTCTGGAACACGAAATGTCTTCCAATATTATGATCATTTTGAGATCATGAAAATGTTGGAGAAAACTTGCAGTCGGAAGTCTGGCATAAATAACTTACATGTTAAATGATGATTAGGTGGAAATAATTTCTCTCTCAGCCATAATATTTAAGCCATGTGTACCTTTGAGTTCTAATTTGACAATGGTATTTTACCTGTCGTATTTCTAAACTTACTTTTGTTTCTGATAAGTTGGAGTTCGGTACAAATCGTCTGCATTTTCCGATTGACGTGTATTCCTAGTATAATCTGAAAATAAAAAAAGAAGAGATTTAAATATTTTTATATATGTCCTTTAGTTAGTCATTAACGTTATTGTGCCTTTTTAAATATCAATCACTTTTTCTTGGGAGTTATTTAAATATTATGTTTTACAATCTAATAATATTAATCTAACACCTATAGAAGAAGTCAAAAAGGGACCAAAAAAGACCATAAGTTCAATTTTGTACACTATATGCAAAAATTAATTCTAAAAAAATTAAACTTCGTCAAGATAGTTTAGAAATAAAATTTTTTGCTTGCTTCTCTTTGATACAAAGAGAGAAGCTTAAAAATTAGCCTATCAATAATGCTCACTATAGAAGAGATGCGCAGGTCACACAAATTTATTATTGATAAATCGAAAGACCTTGTATCAAGGGGTTGTAAACAGTTTCTTGGTATGTCGATCTTTACATCAGAATGTCGTATTGTGTGTGCCTATTCGTCAGAGACGATTCCCAGTGAGAAAAATGCATTATTGCCCAAATCTGATTAAAGACTTTGTCAAAACTTACTCGAGTAAAGTTATCTTTTTAATAGGGTACAATTCTTGAAGGACGAAGTGGAATTGTTTTCCACAGCGTTAAATATACCATGTTATTGCACTCATTAAACTTATCTAGTACGGTGTAAAGAAGGTTTGAAGAATAAATCATTTTTTTTTTTGCAAGTGATTGAAAAAAACTCGTTGTTTGTCGATTTTTTTTTTTTTGCTTCTGAGCAGGAACTCTAATAAACAGGCCTACCTATTCATTGGTTACTTCGTTTTCATAAAGTTCAAGACCTTTTAAGTTTGGTTATGCCCAAAATACATCTACTAACATGGCATGTTAAACGTTGCAATATTCGATTTTTTCCATCTGTATAGAATTCTATATAATCCATTTGAATTGCATAAATTTTAATTTGTTTTGTATGAAATACGTAATGGATATATGCCGAATACTGTTCTATATGTAAAATTATCAGACTGTTTGAGGCCCGTTAGGGCCGAAAACTGTCTGATAATTTTACATATAGAATAGTATGAGGCATATATCTTACTTAAAACATTGCCATTTAAATGTCCAAAAGTTACCTGGAGGAGTCCGATAATAACACAATGGGAGTTTAGGCATCAATTGTTTTTTACCCGTCTAATAAGTAGACAAAAGAAAAGAGACAGTAAAAACAGTGGGTGAACTCTTGTTTCATTTCATTCATTCAATGGCAGTCGTTTAGATAAGCAAGACAGGGGTCCGGTGGGGAAGGATTTCCTTTTTATTTTGGAACATTTTTATTATTTTGTGCATAAATTGACCTGATACATTTTTTTTTTTGGTGGAATTATTACTGTCACCATGGAAAGTAAAAATGCGGATTTTCATCCTGGAGTTTTAGTTTATATAATGGAAATTCTCAGGTTTTACAAGTGCAGCCATTTAGAAACATCCTTATAAAATAAATAGATTTGACGATTATTTCTCAGAAATGGATTTAAATTCGCTTATTCAAAGTGCTGTATCAAAAACACTTTAAGATGGGAAGTATTAATTTTGAGGATGGTTTAAACTCGATTTTTTCATGGATTTGCTATTTTGTAGCAACTAAATTTCCTTGCGATTGCTTTTCCTGATTTTTTTTTCCTTTTTTGGGGGGTGGGGGTGGGGATGGGGATTAGGAGGGGTGGACATATTTAGTTTATTCCACTCTTCTTTTGGTTTTTAAATACCGTCCGATTTTGTTATCATTGCCATCCGATAATATATTATCAGACTGGTAATTATTATTATCGGACGGCTACAGGTAAATTTTTAGACTGCAAGAACAAAGCCATGACGTCACAGCAATGTTTTAAATGGAAATAACGCATAGTATTCAAGCTCAAAAGTTTAATTAAAAATACAAAATTGGAGCAGAGTAAATACGGACCTCCAAAACATCAGAGGTTGGACGGAGGGGTAAGAATCCCCTGCCGATCGGTCACACCCGCCGTGTGCTCCTTATAATGATCGTAAAATAACAGAAAATTCGTTAACAATTCAGTGTATGTATACATGTAAAACCTAACAATTAGTTTGAAAAACGCCAGTCAGCATTTAACGTCATTATGAATGGTATTTGCTGACAAGGTCATTGAATCGACAATAGCAGTTAGAAAATGATGACTTTAAACAAGACTGCTGATGTTTTTGTTTCAGCAACTTGTTTGTCAATAATTTATCTCGTTTAAGAAATTGTTAATACGTAGAGCATGCTCTCCGTATCGAATTAACTGAGAGATATAAACTTCGTATGCAGGTAAAGAAGGTTTATTGTTGCATAAGTAAAGGAAAGTTGACGATTGAAAAGTTAGTCATCACGTTTATCATCTAGCTTGGTAGTTAGATTACAATGAACGCATTTTTCACGTAAAATGTCCAAATATGAAACAGATTTGTCCGACTATAATTTTCTATTTGTATTGTAAATTTTGTATGAAAAATTGTAATATTATACAAGGAAATATGGAAATAACGAACAGGAATCAAGGTCAGATGAAACAATGCAGATTGGGAGCAGAGCAATTAAACCCGGGGCTTCTGAAAACATCATAGGAAGATCAGGTGTCATGGAGGAGCAAGTATCCCCGGTACACCGCAGTGTGCTCGTTGTCATGATCAGGCAAAATGAAAAATCCAAGAGAATTCAGTGTGTAAATAATGACCTGCCAATTAGTATGGCAAACGTCAGTAAGCAGCCGACCTTATGACAGACTGTACATATTAGCTGACTAAGTCTTTGTATCGACCATCAAACTTGTGAAATTATGACTTTAAACAAAACTGTTGAAATTGTCGGTATCTTTCTTTTATCAATTTTTTTTAATAGCTTGTCTCGATTTACAAATTTTTCTTGCATAGGGGATTCTCTTGAAAATTGAATCAACTGGGAGACAATATTCAGGGAATTAGGGTAGAATAAGCAAGGGAAGGTCGTCAATAAAAAAAAGTTGCCATTACATTTGTATCAACGTTTTGTTGGGTTACCTATCTCCCTTTTTTCGAGAAAATATCCATATAAGAAAAAGATTTGTCAGACTATCTAATATATATCACCTTACCTGGTGTCATAGTAAATATTTCTCTCTTTTGTTGTGACTAAAAAAAGGGAAAAAACACTAATATTAAAAGCATGCTTCATCTACAAAAAGCACAATTATTTACAAAAAAAGTCATTCAATTATATAGTCATCTCTTTCGTTTATTATCATGCTAAATAGTCCATGACTTACAAAAATTATTGAGTTTTTTCTGCTAACTATAAATAATAGACATATTCTTGAATTAGCACATACATTAAAAATAAAGCTTTGATCTATTTTGATACCTGTTGAAATATATGGATATCAAACGTCACTAGCATTAAATGATTTATAAATAGAACCTTATACCATTTCAAGATTTTATTACTGAGGAATGTCCTTATTTTCAAAATGACTTTAATTTAAAATTGCCTCGTAGCTTTGAGAATTTGCGATTAGAACTTTAAAGCGTATTGCTTTTTAAGTTTCGATTTATGACGCAACAACTCATAAAAAATGTCATAAATTCTTTGGCCCAGCATGAATAGCTAAACAAAAGTACGTTACAAAGTCAAGTATCGGGATTTTACTATCCACTATAAATTAAATCCGTTAAAAGTTATGTTAGGACTTTCAATTGAAAGATTGTATTAGGTTTTCTAGTGCCATATTTTATGCAATGTTTCATAGGTGTTTAGATATTTTTTTAAAACGGTTGTTGCATTACATTATTTGTTTCGAAGAGAGAAGGAGAGACAGTCACAAAGACTGAACCTTCCCCCTGATTTCAACTGAGATGAAAATTCTTTTTTTTTTTTAAACTTGCACTAATATCAACATATAAAAAAAAACCCCGAAGACTTCCTTTATTTCGAAAGATTGACATATAATTATAGGACAATCAAGTAAAAGCGAAAATCGAAAGATTTCACAATGCTTAAATCTATAGCTCTTTGGTTTGTTTGTCCGAATTTTATTATCCAGAAAGCTACATTTCTTCAGTTGAGAAGAAGATTTTTAGAATTAAGATACCATTTCATTTTTATGTTTTTAATAATTTCCCTTCAAAAGAGAGCTTCTTTCAACAAACTTTATTCTCCTTTACCCATAAAGATTGCATTGTGGTAAGATTATTTGAAATTGCCTCATTGGTACTTGAGAAGACGATAAACTAATGAAAAGATTATGACGAAGACATTGTATTAAATTGAGTTAAAGACAGAGTGTGCATAAACTTTTGCTAAATTTACTGATGATTCAAACCCCCTTGTTCTGACCTCCATACATGCTCCATGTTGAGGTTGTATATACTGAAATATGTTACCTTTGAAAGTGTTCTCGTTTGTTGATGAAAATAAGCAGTTAAACAATTAACATCATTATATTGAGCAAGTAGTCTTCTACTGATTTTTTTTTTCATTTCATGGCCCCAGCACTAGTGACTTTGACCCAAGAGAGGTCTAAGTCCAGAACATATATTGAAAAATACTTTTAAATAAAACTTTGGACATCTTTATTTGTGGACATGTATCATGCAAGTTGTTCATATGCTTACAATGATGACTTTAACCTTTACCAAAGTATTTAGTTTGATACATCCTTAGTCCCTATTCCTCTACAAAACCATGTCGCTGTAACCAGGAATTATCCTGGACGGAGGGAGGGGGTGCTACGTTGGTCATATACATGTTTTTACACCAAGCAACTACTAGACAAGACAAGCAGCACGAGTGTATTTCTGATTATAGAGTCTTCGACGGTAAAGTTTTGTCACCAGTTCCTTTTGGTTAATTTTAATTGGCCATAGCCAGTGGAACACATAAATGTAATACTCAGGTGACCGTTTAAGCCCATGGGACTTTGGTTTGATAGATTTTTATAAATGCTCACCTGTACATTGGCGTTGGCAGCTTTAAACTTTGAAACATCGAAACTCCCAACACTTTCACGCTGAAAAATATAAAAAATGAAAACTATTACATGTGTAGGGGTGGATAAAAGTAATATAAAATAGTAATATTACTTACATTCAAACATTTTATTTCAACAATATTTAAAAATATACATTTCAAAACCTTTTTCGTAGGAATTAAAAGCACATATAATTTTTTGATGGATTTTATGAAATATTTAATCTGAAGAGGGTAGCCGTTCATGGTACCAAGCATAAAGAAGCAATAGCGAGCGGACAAGCAAGGCGATCGCCCCCTCAGTCTCATAATGCTGTCCTCTTATTCTCGCTCCCCTGCTTTGTTGCCCTGTCATTGGCATTAAACTTCATTCTCTCGCTTTGAGAGACAACCAGTGAGAATATATTCATGTAATGTAATCATATAACAAACTTCAGGAAATATCTGATAGTTTTACAAATTACCATCTAAATTGTTTACCATATACATACTCTTGTACCCCATAACATAAAAGTTCGTGAAGCTCTGAAACACCTCCCTAAAAGCCAAAATACCTCAACAACAACTTCCAACATGGTGGCTTTAAAGAGTTGTGCAACTTAACCCATATATAACCAGTAGATGAAACATAGGAAATTAGTAAAAAGAAATTGACAACATACAGAATTTAGTCTACATCATTGTGGCTGAGACCTACCGAACTGGAATTTGACTGGCAATTCCTCGCACCTGCCATTTCCTGGAAGAAATGCTATGTTTATCCAGAGACTTACAGACTTATCAAGCGTTATAGAGTCGCGCAGTTAATTGTATAGATATTGATTTCTCTTCACTTAAGTTTTAGTCGATGCTACAACTAGGGACTAATTTTCCATAATTATCACCACCCAGTTTCACATTACATTAATAGATTGATGTCCAAAATTGATTAAACTGAGGCGCCATTTTAACAGGAATTGATTTATAAAAACTGACCTGTGATTTACCTTTCGTGTTTTTGTTACATTTCTATAACTAGATGCTGTCATGAGACAGTAATACCCGCACTAAGGTGTTTGCCTCTAAATACACAATCCTACGGGCGGCTTACCAAGGAAAAAGTCAAAATAATTCTATATAATTCAGGCACGTAGCATCGTTTTTGAAAGTGGGGGGGGGGGGCAACCTGAGAAATTTTTTTTTACTAACCTAAAAAAATTAACAAGGAAAAAAAATGAAATGGGGGGTGGGGGTGGGGGTGGGGTGCCCACTTTTTTTTCAAGGCAAAATTACTTTCACTTCCAATTTTTCCCATATTTCCTTGCAATGTATATACTGTGGTTAAAAGTGGGGGGAGGGGGCAACCATCTTTTTAATGGACATTTTCTTATAGTACAGGTAATGTTGGGAAAAAAGGGGGGCAGCCCCCCCCCCCCCCCCCCCCCCCCCCCCGGTTGCTACGTGCCTGTAATTTACATATGTATTCATAAAATTGGGTATGAAATTATCCCTGTGACCTATAACTCAGAACCTCTTATATTTATTTTACATGCTTAATTCATTATATACCAGTTTGAATTCTATTAATAATGTAAATTAGATTTTGATAAATGTTTTGCTCATATTAGGACCTTTTTAAATTTACTAATCCCCCCCCCCCCTCTCGACACCACAATCACACAGTACATACTTTTGGGAATAGGCTAGATGGAACAGTTTTGTTAAAACAGTGTTTGTTATGAATTAATTAAAAATTTGTTCTTGACATGTAAATTCTACATCACATCACGTTGCGTCACCCATTATCATATTTTTAGATTAAACTCCATTCGGTACACCTCGGCCGATTCCCACTTCATCTGATAAGGTGACGGAATCGACGGCACGGAGGTTTTCCGAATGGAATATCATTATAACATGCTGCAGAATGGTGTGCTTTGGATTAATTCATTTTGTGTTATAATTGGATTTATATTTCATGAAGTTTACAGGACCTATGGAGGTCGGTAAGTACAAGTTTAAGTATAGTGGGGGTAAAATAAACCCAAACGATTAGGTTAAAGTTCAAAAAGGGTCAAAGATCATCGCATGCCACACTAGACGAATTTCATATTGTGAAGTTATCTCCCCTTGTCGATGTGACATTCAGTTACTGCCAATACTGGTGCGGATCCAGAATTTTTTTCGGGAGTAGGGAGGGGGGTTCACATCTCAGTCAAAATATTCATGCCTAGAATTTCCTGACAAGCAGGAGAAAAAAATCATACACTGAAAACAAATAAACAAAAAAAACCCCAATGTTTTCTTAGTTAGGGGGAGGATGTCCAAAATCATTTTTTATTTGCTTCAGTATATAGTCTTGTTTAAATAACAAAGGAAATTCCAGGGGGGGGGGGGTTCCAATCTCCCTACCCACTCCCTATCCCTGAAATAACAATCTATTTTGTGATTCCAATTAAATAGTATATTTTTTTCCATTTGACTAATTATGTACATATTTTGTTTCTTGTGTTTATATTATGTCTGTATATTTGTCTGCAGAAATTATAACCTTGCCCAAAAGTTTTAAGTGGGATGGGCTATACAATTGGCTTCCACATTTTATAGGTTTATTTCTTGTGACAATTAAGACCTTTTATTTGGGTACCATTAATTTTTACCTCTGATCACTTGACCTAGAATACACATTTTTACAAGAAAAATACCCAACTTTAAACTTGGCCTAAATTTTGATCAGTAGGTGCTAGGGCTTTCATGCTTAACATGTGTATTCATTGTGAACTGTCAACAGGTATAAATATGTTTGACCTTGACCGTAGAGTTTGAACCACTTAAAAAATTAACCTTGGCAATTAACTTTTGAAGAGGAAGTACTAGGGATTACTTATTTCACATGTGCATTCCTTGTGATACCAACAATTGACCTTGACCTTTGAGTTTGACATATATTTGAGAAACTTCAACCTTCGCCATAGGCTACCAGACAGGGACATCAGTGTTTCACAAACACATCTTGTCTTCATTATTATTTGGTGGTGTCTCCATATGACGGAAAAATTCCAATGAGATATGTATTCACAACAAACAAACAAATTACTAAAGAAAATATAAAACATGAATATGTTGGTCATGCATATCTCTGCATGAAAAAAAACCCAGCTTTTCAAGTACTGCAACCATATTGTAACCCTTTCAAAACACTCATTTGAGCTTTTCTGGTTTCCTTGTCATATAACGTCTGTTGTGACATGTTGTCCATCTGTTTGTCTGAAAACTTTTTACATTTTTAACTTTTCTAGAACCACTGGTCCAATTTTACCCATGCAATTCATATAGAAATATGTACATTTGTATGTCAGACTGTTCTTCTGTCTGAATAAAATTAACCTTGGTTATCACGGTCATATCTACTGAATGAGAAGAGACAAGGCATTCATATTAAACTTATGTACTAGTATTTACCTGTGAGAATGGCATGGTTTTTTTTTTTTTTTTTTACATGACCTAGAAGTTTGACCTACTTGCAAAAAAATTAAATTGTTATAAATTTATCATTTTGAAAGAGAAAAGTTAGGGCATTCATATTATAATGCATGTATATTATTACCTGTGATAAGATCTTTCCAAATGAATCATGACTTTTACTCTGTGACCTTGACCTTGAAGCCTAACCTACTTTTCAAAAATGTTGCATTTGCTTATAACTTTTGATTGAGATGAGATATGACTCTCACATTTGACATTTGTACATTAATTACTCATAAAAATTCAAGATGTTTCCCAGCTTGCAATGTTTTTTTACTCTTTAACGTTAATGTTTTACATAATTTTCAAGATATTTAATTCTCCTAAAAGATAATTAGGCTTCTGAGTAACATTAAGGAGGACCTCAGGAAAGACAGGACTTTTTGCACAAAAAATGTAATTTTCCACCCCCATTTGACCTCCCAGGGCAATATCAAAATTCCAAAACCTTGCTGCACATCTACATGACACTACCAACCATCTCCCTAAAGATGATTAGGCTACTGTGTAAAATGTAAGAGAATTTCAGGGAATTAAGACGGGGCTTTTTGCATAAAAACGTCATTTTTTTACCCCTATTTGACCCCCCGGGGCAAAATCAAAATTCCAAAACCTTACTGCACATGTACATGAAACCACCAACCATCTCCCAAAAGATGATTAGCCTACTGTGTAAAATGTAAGAGGAGTTCAGGGAAGACGGGGTTTTTTGCATAAAAAACGTCATTTTTCGACCCCCATTTGACCCCCCGGGGCAATATCAAAATTCCAAAACCTTACTGCACATCTACATGACACCACCAACCATCTCCCAAAAGATGATTAGCCTACTGTGTAAAATGTAAGAGGAGTTCAGGGAAGACGGGGCTTTTTGCATAAAAAACGTCATTTTTCAACCCCCATTTGACCCCCCGGGGCAAAATCAAAATTCCGAAACCTTACTGCACATCTACATGACACAACCAACCATCTCCCAAAAGATGATTAGGCTACTGTGTAAAATGTAAGAGGAGTTCAGGGAAGACGGGGCTTTTTGCATAAAAAACGTCATTTTCGTCCCCCATTTCACCCCCCGGGGCAATATCAAAATTCCAAAACCTTACTGCACATCTACATGACACCACCAACCATCTCCCAAAAGATGATTAGCCTACTGTGTAAAATGTAAGAGGAGTTCAGGGAAGACGGGGCTTTTTGCATAAAAAACGTCATTTTTCGACCCCCATTTGACCCCCCGGGGCAATATCAAAATTCCAAAACCTTACTGCACATCTACATGACACCACCAACCATCTCCCAAAAGATGATTAGCCTACTGTGTAAAATGTAAGAGGAGTTCAGGGAAGACGGGGCTTTTTGCATAAAAAACGTCATTTTTCGACCCCCATTTGACCCCCCGGGGCAATATCAAAATTCCAAAACCTTACTGCACATCTACATGACACCACCAACCATCTCCCAAAAGATGATTAGCCTACTGTGTAAAATGTAAGAGGAGTTCAGGGAAGACGGGGCTTTTTGCATAAAAAACGTCAT